GCCTCCTCTCACTTTTAGAGTGCATGCGCCATCTCACTTGGCTAAAAGTGAGAGCATGCGCCAAGTGAGATGGTGCCTAGGGCAAATGGCCAAGTGTAGGCGTCAACTGGGTTGACTCCTCCTTTGTGGGGTTTCCTGAAACATGGTTATTTGCGTAATTTTCTCCGAAATATGGTTATTTGCGGAAAAAAATTTCAAAAGTTAATTATTACAAAAAAAATCAAAATAAACATCTAAGTAAAATATTTTTGTTTTTAGAAATATTTTATAGGAAGAAATAAACCAAAAAATTATCATAAACAAAATGAAAATAAGAAAATACATATATTTTTTTAATAAAAAAAGAAACTAAATCTCTCATTTAATCTTAATTTAAAAGCTAAAACGTAATATTCTATGCATTTTAAAGTATAATGTGTGCAGTGGAATCTTAACCATCCAAATTTTTATACCGTACACACTAAGAGAATTGAATGGTGATGATATAACTGGACACTCTCCGATGAAAATATCATCTGAGAACATAAGATTGTGGCTTTCGTCATTTGATTGTATTTTGTTAAATTTATAATCTAATATATAAAGTGTTAAAAGCAATATTTTTATAATATTTTAGATATATCTTATTAATTAAAGTTGTTAAGTCTGTTAAGAAATTTTTTAAAATCAAAATTAAAGTTAATTTAGTCATTATTAATATTAATTAATTTATTTATTATTAATTAAAATCAGTCATTCTCATAATTTAAAGATTTATTTTTTATTTTATTTGTTTTATGTGGCTAAACTTATTTATTTCTTTCTTAAATTGTGGATTTGAAAAACCAACATCTCAATAATAATTAATTTATTAAATTATTAAATTTATTTATTTATATTAAAAATAAAATTAAAAAGGTAAAAAAAAAAATCCTAATAAACTTAACACACACATTCCAAATAAAAAGATTCTCACTATCAATTAGGTTTTATCAAATAATTAGTTTATTAAAATTAATCTTATTAATTAAAGTTGTTAAGCCTTTTAAGAAAATTTTTTTATCCAAAACTAAAGTTAATTTAGTAATTATCAATATTAACTTATTTATTATTTATTTATTTATTTATTTATTTATTATTAATTAAAACCACTCATTCTCATGATTTAAGAATTTGTTTTTTATTTTATTTGTTTTATATGACTAACTTATTTATTTATTTCTTAAAATTGTTGATTTGAAAAATCATCATTTCAATAGTAATTAATTAATTAAATTATGAAATTAAATTATTTATATTAAAAATAATATTAAAAAAAGGTTAAAAAATTGTTTCTAATAAACTTAACACACACCTTCCAAATAAAAAATACCCACTATCAATTATATTTTATCAAAAAATTAATTTATTAAAGTTAATCCAAATAAATGAATATTATTCTTAATAAATTGCATATCTCCACTCCTAATTAAATGGAAATTATTCTTAATAAATTGTATCCCTCCACTCCTCATTTTATCTATTTTAAATTAATTATTTTATTACAATTTTGTCGTATTAATTTTTTTAAAGTTATTATTGTAATTGTAGGTAATATCTAAAACAAAGTATGCACTGGTATTTAAAAATATTCATAAAAGGAGTGTGAATCTCTTTATCATTATTGTGATTTGGCTTCATTTTTATTATTTTTCTTATTTATTTCTTTGTTTTAATTATAGTGTCGAAAAAGTTGGTGTGAGAGTTGTGAATTAAAAAAAACGCCTTCTTTTTTATTTTGTCTCCTAATTTTTTATTATGTTTTTAAATAATCAATAATATTAAATTAATTAGTATTAAAAATATATTTTCGAAATAAAATATAATATTTATTATAGAACTTCACTTTACTAAAAAACATTCTATTAGTTATTAATTAGTAATAACGTAATTAAAAATAGTTATTAAATATTAATTTAAAGTATACTAAAATTAAGAAATTAATTTATGTAATTTTATTAAATAAAATTCCAAAAAATAAATAAGTTACATATTACATCCACTACTAATTAAAACCTACAAATAAAAAATAACCACTAACTAACCAACAATAATACATCAAAGAGAAATCTCATTTATAATAATAATAATAATAATAATAATAATAATAATAATAATAATAATAATAATAATAATAATAATAATAATAATAATAATAATAATAATAATAATAATAATTTTTAATAATTATTAATTCACTCATTAATTAATAATAATAATAATAATAATAATAATAATAATAATAATAATAATAATAATTAGTTAATTAAATAAAAGGACTAAAAAAATAGGATAAGTTTTATTTATTTATTACTATTTAAGTCTCTTTGTATAATCTATTAACTACAATAAATAACAATTATTTATAGACTTTCATTTATAATTTTAATAGATTCATATAGTTCTAGACCATTTTTTTTAATCTTTTATCATATAAATTTATATTTTTCTATCTTAATTTCGTAACTCTATTTATTTTCTATTTCAATGATTAATTTGATGTCAAATATAACTCATCTATTTTTTTAATTATATATTTTATAAAATTTATTTTAAATTCTTAAAAATATTATAAAACATCAAAACAACTAAATTATATTGTAAACAAGAGATGTAATTTATATAAAAAATAAAAAAGTAAGTAGGGCATTTTTAAAAAAATTATAAAGATAGATTTTTTTCAAAAAAATTATGTGTATCCAATGATTGAAAACAAAAATAATTAGTTTTTCTAAAAAAGATTGTGTGTACTATTACATTTAATATAGGATTTTTTTTAATTTATAATACTTAACCAATACCCTTAGGATACCGATTAGAATGACCCTATTACATTTACTCTTTTTAATATCATTAATAAATGATATTTTGTAAACGCCATCCTAATCTCTTTTTCCTATTCAAAGTTAATGACAATTTTTTAGTTTGGGTGAATGTGTCAATATATAATAGAAAATGAAAGCAGTGCCAATATGAACTATCCTTAAGCCAGTTTACAAAAACTACAGCAATACTAATGATTATGATGGGTCAAAAGTCTATTTGAATCCTGTACCAAAACTTCGTTACTCTATGAAATACTTCAGCCAACTAAAAATCATTAGGACAAAAAAAAAACAAATATAAAAGAGAACACCATAGCTTGAATGTCATGTACCAACCTTTTTGCTAGAAAGTCATACACCAAAATTAAAAATGTTTGTAACATCAAAACATTAAAAATTTAACAATCTTTCCTCAATAAATAAAATGACCTGCTAGAACTTCTTGCATACTTTTCTCCTGTTATAAACAATAAATAAATTACTACTAATTATTAGAGTCAGTTTCAACTTTGAAAAATTGAGTGTCCAATGAGTAATAATATAGCAAATTTTCCTTTACTAGACAATAATTGAACCATTGTATATATATATATATATATATATATATATATATATATATATATATATATATATATATATATATATATATATATATATATATATATATATATATATATATATATATATATATATATATATATATTAGTTTTTAAATATATATCATACAAAGTTTCTAATGCAGTATCCATCTAGTTTAGCAAAGTTGCATGACAGGCATAAATTTTGAGACTATTAAGCAGTGTGTCATATAGATAATAGATTTAACTAGTTGAACCATGTTCATCATAAATAGAAGATGAATTTTTCAAGTGGTGAGTTTTTCAATGACTGACTTAATCTGAGATAGCTTGAAGGTGAACAATTCTAAGTAGTGTTTTAAAATTAGATCGAACTAGATCGGTCAATTGAACCGGAAATCAGGGATAACTAGTTCAAAGAGGTTATTGGACCCTATATGTTATTGAAACTACGTATACCAACCAAAGAAAAAAGCGTGAACCATTGATTTTTAAAAATCGGGCAGTTCAAATGCTTTTTTTAAAAGTGAGATTTAATTATTGGACCCTATATATTATTGAAACAACGCATACCAACCAAAACCAGAAGAGAAAAAAAACATGAACCATTGATTTTTAAAAATTGGGCATTGCTAATTATTATATGTTTCCTGTAATTTATGTATTTTGTACTTCACTTGTCACCTACTCGATCATAGGAGTCAACACGATTTAACAGCTATACATTTTGCTATAGAATATGTAAAAGTTCAATTTAATAGTTAAATATATTAAAAAAATCTCTTAGGGATAGGACTAAGTTAATATTTAACCAAATTTATATGATTCTCTAGTATTATTTTTATCTTATAAATTTTTGTTATTTACTTTATTGTTTTATTTTCTATTGTTTTTCTATATGATCTTGAAAATATATACCAACACATTTTTCTTTTGAGTGATAAATTTTTTAAATGAATTGCGAATTTCAAATAGCATAATTGAGAAATCATGTTTTATCCTATTAGATCATGCAGTTTAAATAATGATCTCGGGGTTCAACCAACAAATCCTAGAACCCATGACCATGTCGGGTCGACGATCAATCCAATTTTTAAAACCTTGATTCTAGACTTCTACATAAAATAGATACACCTAGATAGTCAAATGGAGCTTAGCCAATAATGACCCCAAAAAACTAGTTATAGAATTGAGTATGAACTTCCAATAACTTTGCATTTGTCACATTATTATTTCCACCAATTGTCTCATTATTACATTTATATTTCCAAAATTTTGATCATGAACAAAAGGAAGAAGCAGAAAAGGAGAGGATCAATAGAAAATGTAAGAACTCATTGCCTCAATGTCGTTCATGACAATCATATGACAAATCAATACATACCATATTGATTATTTATTCATTTATTTATTTAACTAAACCTTTGGAAGAAACCAATATAACTCAAAGACTCAAAGCAAAACAAAAATTATCTAGGAATTGAAACTATTTTTTTAACATTATAACAGAGATTGTATGAATATAAAAGAATACAAAATGTACTAAAAGTTAGTTACCTCAAAAATGGTGGAATCAACTTCAAAACTGCTCTTGTTTAGGACCTTTCAAATTTTGAAATTCTTGACAATTCATCTCAGCATGCCACGGAACCCTACACTTTGCACAGAATAATCTATGACAATATGGACACTCGCAGCTCGTCACAACAACTTCTCCACCGTAGTTATCATTCACCAACAAAATAGAACAATTCTCATAGGGACAATAAGTCTTCTGCTCCAATGGAATTTTAGACGTATACTTTGCGAATTCCCATCGATCAAAAAATTCACGAGGCATGATATTTTCCAAATGTTCTGGCTTCAATTTCATATAACAATTTGGATTTGGACATATCACTTTAACCATGTTGTTGTTTATTTCAGAATCCATGTATTTGGAAATACAATCAACGCAAAAGGAGTGATTGCAACTATTGCTTTTGAACATATCAGGATCTGGTTTTGAATTAAAGCATATACCGCATAAGCTTCTTGAGGACTCACCACTATTCATCTTTTCCGGCTTCATATAATCAAGGTTTGGGGCTGGTTTCTTCTTCTTCCTTTCATCATTGCTTTCTGGACGAGATTTTCTCTTCACTGATTCTAGTTCTGAGGGTTCTTTTTTCACTGGCAGTGGCGAGTGTGAGGGCTCCATGATCGATTCAATTTTGCAGTGGAATAAGAATCCTCGCACAACTTGGAAAACTATGAAACGAATAATATAGGGTTTTGGGTTTGAAATATGACGGTAATCCTTATAGAGAGGTTTTAGGGATTTGATATTTATTAATAATATAATAGTTAATTAAATAACAATAACAATTAATAACATTAAAAAATTTATAATCCCACGTTTTCACAAAAAAAATTTAACCACATACTTGACCTAGGTGTTAACTATAGGGTATCAAAATGGGTAGTCTCTTGTGTCCCACTCCACCGTGCCTTAAGATTTAAAAAAAAAAAAAAAGGAGATGAACAAGTTCGTCAAGTAAAAATGGACATAAAAATTTAATTTGTCTCGCTAAGGTGACGAGTTGGCGGTAGCGGGCTTGCTCACCTACTTTTTATTTTTTTTATTTTTTATTTTTTTAATAGATTAATAGTTTTTTTTTACATTTCAATTAATTTTTTCCTTTATTTTTTATAAAAATATATTTTTTAACAAATTTTACTTCAAAAATTATTCCATATATTCACAAATAAATGTATAAAATAAAACCATCAAGAATTAAAATTATTAGAATTAATTAAAAAAGGCAGATTTAAAGTGGGACTAACTAAACAAATACGTGCGGCGGGTTTTAGGGCAGTGGATTTTTGTAGGACGGACTTTGGCGGGTGACGGTCTTTAGCAGGATGGATTTCAGTGGACAGCGATCTCAAAACCCCAATCTAACCCGCCATATTTTGGCGGGTGCACGGGCCAGCCCGGTGGACCACAATCCACTTTGCCACCCCCTACATTCAAGAAGATATTCAAATTTGAGGTTAATATTAGTAGTAATTCATAGGGTTGTTCAAAAAAATCATTGAACCGAACTGAACCTTCGAACCGAATTAAACTGAAGTTAAAATAACTGAACTATTATTAATGGTTAGTGAACTGAACTTATATTTTGGTAATGATTCTAAAACTGAATCGTTAAGTAATCAACCAATTTAAAAGTAGTTCTAAATTGGATCGTTGTTACTTTAGAATCTAAATTGACTATTTTATTGAAAAAAAAATCGTTTTTTTAAATTAAAAAAGTTGACTTTTTTCAAAAATATTAAAAAAAAAACATTTTTTTCTAAAATAAAAAAGTCACTTATTTTCAAAATTAAAAAAAAAAAAGTCATTTTTTAAAATAAAAAATCAGTTTTTTTCGAAAAAAAAAAAGTCTATTTTTCCGGAAAAAAAAGAGAGTCAATTTTGTTCGAAAATTAAAAAAAAAACGATTTTGTCGAAAACAAAAATGTCAATTTTTTTTCGAAAATAAAATAAAGTCGGTTTTTTTCGAAAAAACAATTTTTCCCAAAATTGAAAATTCGTTTTTTTTCAAAAATAAAAAAGTCGATTTTTTCCTAAAATAAAAAAGAAAGTCTATTTTTTCCGAAAATTCGAAAACTCGACTTTTTTTTCAGAAAAAAAAGTTGATTTTTCCAAAACCAAATAAAATAAAATTATTTCAAAAATAAAAATGTTGATTTTTGGTGAAAATAAAAAAAAAAGGTTGATTTTTCCCGAAAAATAAAAAAGTTGTTTTTTTGGCGAAAATTGAAAAGTCGTTTTTTTCGAAGAAAAAAATTATTTTGATTATTTTCGAAAAATATAAATGTCTATTTTGACAAATAAAAAAGTCGTTTTTTTCTTTTTAAAAAATTAGATTTTTTCAAAAAAAATAAATCAATTTAACATAATCAAGTATAACCCTTCATTTATTTAACAAATTATTCGATTTTTTAAAAAAAAATAGTCTTATAATGGTTTGGTACAGTTCGGGATTCTGAACCGTTGTACCAAACCAAAACTTTTGGTTCAGTTCGATTCTAAAAAAAATGAAACGGTTTGGTTAGATTCGAATGACCTTATATAATGGCCACGGCCCGTTTTGTCACCCCTACATTCAAGATGATATTCAAATTTGAGGTTAATATCGAGAGTTTTTTTTCAAATAACCACTTTTTTCAAAACATTTCCCAAATAACCACTTTTTCAAAAAAATTACCAAAATGACCACTTTTCAAACAAAAAAAATTCGCCACACAGAGGAGTAGCCACTCTGTGTGGCGCATGCATTCATTTTTAAGAGGAGGCGTCATACTGCATGGCTTGTCCTCCTCTATAAAGCCATGCAATATGGCGCATGCATGTATTCCAGAGAGGAGGCGCCACCCTCCTTGGCTTGACAGTGTTATTGCATTTTCTATAAATGCAACCACCCATCCTCTTCATTTTTTTCACACCGTTTGTTACATAACTCTTAGAAAATGTCTTCAACTCCATTGCCAAAGTTTTCACTGATCAAAAGAGATGCGCATGTTATTTTTTCGGTGACAAATCCTCCGGTAAAGATCAAACTCTGGAACACGCAGACGTTCGAGCATTTTCAGAGGCACTTGATTCGCTGGTTGGAAGGAGACATTCCTGAAGGTGAACAAATCAGAAAAATAGAAAGGCACATCACAGTGAGGAATGAAAATGGAGTAAGCCGGTCATGGAAAAAGGTGAGATGCGACGCTGATGTCATGATGATGATGCTTGGACCAGAGGATATTGTGTTGATGGTCTTTATCTCTTAGATATTATGATTTGTTTAGTTGTTTTATCTGTTTATCATGTTGTTGTATTGTTGTCCTGAGTATGTGGTGTTGTAATTTTTTGTGTCATGATGTGAAAGTTGTTGTAATCGGATGATAAATTGAACACGAAATGATAACTCGAATTTAAATTGAAATATATTGCGTACAACAAATTAAACACTCCAGAAAGTTTGCTATAAAAAAGTTAGGTTGCAGAGCTAGACCCAATATTCAGACAATTTTTCCGATTGTGTCCGGAAAGACGACATGTACTGCATAATCTTATCATTTTGTTGGTCGTATCCATTTCAGTTCTAATACGAGTGCTTTTCGGGTGCCCCTTTTTCTTCCGTCGCATTTATTCATTGTGCCAAACAATGTCCCCTTGATAAGCAGGCCAATAATCCTCTTTTGCCAACACAGAGAAGGTATTGATGTACACACTTAAAACGCTCTTTACCATGTACACGGGGGATATATGTTGTATTGGGTCCAAGCGAACATGCGAACATGCCGCTATGACATGAGAGCAAGGCATGCGAAATGCTTGAAACTTTCTGCAATCACACCAACCTCTATCTAGTTTGACCCGATAATATCCCTTTGGCATCCCCTCGTTATGATCCATTGTCTCCTGTACACTGAATCAACCTTTAATACGGAGAAACACTGTGACACTATGGTTGTTTTCTTTTGTAGCCTCATCGTTAAATGTTTTCATCGTGCATTCACTAAATAATTGCCCTGATTGTAACACTGCCCTCCATTTTGAACTTCTTGTGTCAAACAATGACCCCATCCTGAAATATGTTGCTCTAACCAAAGCAGTAATTGGTAGGTTTCAGATGCCTTTGAATACAGAGTTCAATGATTCCACCAAATTTGTTGTCATATGGCCCCATCATTGACCATTGTCAAATGCTTGAGTCCACTTCTCTATTGGAATGTTATCGATCCACCTTAATGCTTCTGAGTTTGCCAACCGGATTTCTTCGCAATAGTATCGGAATGACGGTTCTGTTAAGGCATACCCTGTATTAATAACTTTCTTTTTAAGTGTCTTGTCTTTGATATGGAGCATAAAGTTTTGTGTGATATGTCTAGTGCAATAGACATGTGTCGAAGGGGGATCCTGCCAACCGTTATCAGGGTTATTGTATGCACTCACAATCTATGGATGTTTGTCTGAAATCAAACAAAGGTTGGGTTGAGGAGCAACGTGTAATCGGAGATTCTTCAGAAAGAAATTACATGCACCACATGTCTCACCTTCAACTAGAGAGAAGGCAATCGGAAAAACATTAATGTTCCCATCTTGTGCCACTGCCATGAGTAATGTTCCTTTATACTTCCCGTATAACCAAGTTTCATCAATTTGTATAATAGGTTTGCAAAATGCAAAACCCTTGATGCATGGTTCAAACGCCCAGAACAATCGATGAAATATTCCATTTCCACTAACACGAGTTATGTCTGGAGTAAAAGCTGGAAGTGTCTCCAAAATTATAACAGTTCCTGGAGCATAATATTTAAGTTCCACCAAAAATCTTGGAAGTTCTTTGTACGATTCCTCCCAATTATCGTACACAAGTTCAACTGCCTTAGCCCTCCCGATCCATGCCTTCTTGTAAGATGGAGTATAATTAAATCTCGTAGTGATATGAGAAATAATTATACTCACCTTTAATGATGGATCCTTGCTAATAAGAGGCAAGATTTCTTGACATATTAGTTGTGAACTAAGTTTCCGATGATCCTGTGTCGGAACGATGGTGATGCAAGTGTGGAGTGGATCAATGGAACCTATTTCCCATGAATCACTTATCTTCCTATAAGATGCAGTTAACCGAAAAAGGGATAATTGGTTTTTGACGACATAAAATAACGTACCTCCCTGAATTATTTTTATCTACAGTGAAGTCAGCTAAAATTTCCATGTGGTATTTTTTGATAGCTCTAAGACACTCTTCTTTTGTTCGAAATTTGTCTCCAACTTTCAAGGCCCCTTCGGTCTGTATATAAGGATTATGAAAGATATATGAGGATGGTTCATCTTCCCCCAAGTTCAAGTTCGTCATGTGAAATGGAGGGTCGTACACATGACTTGCAGGTACAGGTTCATGCTCTTGATCTGCAGCGTCATCATTGACCATAAAATCAATCATTGCCTCATCATCTTCTTCTTCTTCTTTAATAACATCAACTTCAAGATGGTTGTCCTCGTCATATTCATCCTCTTCCTCAAAGTCTTGAGAAGGATCTACCACCTGAGATTGATCTAGTTGTTGTAATAAAACATACAGCTCAATCTCATCGAACCCGGATTGTTCATGAGTTCGAAACATGTTTCAAACATCATCACCGTCGCGC